TTATTTTTATAAGATGTTGAATTTTTTTTAAAAATCTTTTGAATAATTTTCTTTGAACGATAATAGGTACAAATTATAGAGAAAAAAAAAAGAAAAAAAATTTAATTGGGTCAATCCGCGGGTTGATCCGGGACCCGTGATGGGCGGATTAGGGTCTGCCTTCATTGACCCGTGACCCGTTTTAACCCAACTCGTTTTGACCCGTGACCCGTTTTAACCCAACTCGTTTTGACCCGTGACCCGTTTTAACCCAACTCGTTTTGACCCGTTACCCGTTTTGACCCGACCCTAACCCGACCCAACCTGCCCGTTTGCCAGATCTAATCTTCATTAATTTTTTTGTTCTTTTACCTACGACTATTATCATTATATATCTATGTTTTACCTCAATTTGTCTTCTCTCTTCCTGTAATATCCCAAAAATTTGGTGATATTTTAGCATTAAGTAAGTGACTAATTTGAGGAAAAATATTGTTTTGGGGCTTAATAGTCAAATTTCAAAAGCTGAGGGACTAAAAAGAAAGGAAATTAGGATAAGGATCAGTTGCTTTCCTTTTCTTTTATTTTCTTTCTTTCTTTTCTTCCTCGTCAGACCCGCGTGTTTCTGCTTCTCTTCTTCTTCTCCCGACAAGCCCCCCCGAGTTGTCGATAGTTCCCCTTGAGAAACTCGGGAAAAGCTTGAAATTTCTCCTTCTTTCTTGTTCAACCACAAAATTTGGGGCTTAGAATTCTCTCTCTCAACCCAGAAAAAAATCCCGGATCTGCTCTGCTCTTTCTCCCCTGTCCGTCGGTTTTGCTGGGTGCATATTTCTAGGCTTTTTCGGGTAAGCCACAGCCATGAAATTCATCCTCTCTCTCTTAATTTGGCTTGGGTTACTCTAATTTTGTTGTTGGTTCTTGAATTTCTGGAGTTTTGCCGTGAGTCCCCCCCAGGATCCCGTCGGCTTCCTCACCAGCCAAGCTTGGTTTCTGCTGGCTGGAATTCTGGTAAGTTGCCAGCTTTTCCAAGCCTAAAATTATCCATTTAATTTGTTGCCTTGTGATGTCCGAAATTCTGTTGAAATAGGGGAGGAAGTTCGGCAGCCTCCAAGCATGAGTTTTGTTTAATTCATGTAGAAACTAGCTTAATTTGATTGCTGTGAGGTTAATTGTGGAAATCCCATGAAATTTCCATTGTTTTTGCCAAAGTTGATTCCTCCATGTGCTGCCCATGGGTTGTCCGAAATCTGCTGGAATATGGGGGAATTTGGTAGCCTTTTTGACATGTTTTTTTTTAGCTTAATTTATGTAGAATTAGTTTGATTTAGGCTGTTGCGATTTCTGGAGAAAAATCTCGTGATTTGCT